AAGTGCCTCGTCATGTATGGTGTACATGTCCTGTCATGTATGGTGTATGTGCCTCGTAGTGTATGGTGTATGTGCCTCGTCGTGTATGGTGTATGTGCCTCGTCGTGTATGGTGTATGTGCCTCGTCGTGTATGGTGTATGTGCCTCGTCGTGTATGGTGTATGTGCCTCGTCGTGTATGGTGTATGTGCCTCGTCGTGTATGGTGTATGTGCCCCGTCGTGTATGGTGTATGTGCCCCGTCGTGTATGGTGTATGTGTCCAGTCATGTATGATGTACGTGTCCCGTCATGTATGATGTACGTGTCCCGTCATGTATGATGTACGTGTCCCGTCATGAATGGTGTATGTGCCCTGTCATGCATGGTGTAACTGCCTCGTCGTGTATGGTGTATGTGTCCTGTCGTGTATGGTGTATGTGCCTCGTCATGTATGGTGTACGTGTCCCATCATGTATGGTGTACGTGTCCCGTCATGTATGGTGTACGTGTCCCGTCATGTATGGTGTACGTGTCCCGTCATGTATGGTGTACGTGTCCCGTCATGTATGGTGTACGTGTCCCGTCATGTATGGTGTACGTGTCCCGTCATGTATGGTGTACGTGTCCCGTCATGTATGGTGTACGTGTCCCGTCATGTATGGTGTACGTGTCCCGTCATGTATGGTGTACGTGTCCCGTCATGTATGGTGTACGTGTCCCGTCATGTATGGTGTACGTGCACCGTCATGTATGGTGTACGTGCCCCGTCATGTATGGTGTATGTGCCCCGTCATGTATGCTGTATGTGCCCTGTCAAGTATGGTGTGTATGTAAAATGTATGTGGTACATGTCTCTTCATTTATAGTGTGGTGTACATGTAAATTTTAAAAGTACCGGTAATTGTTAAAGATATGTGTCAGAGATACAAATCCAAAATAGCAGTATTAAAGTTATCAAAGCATATATCAAGTTTGAACATGAACAGACAACAGAGAATGTCTTCAAAAGTGCATTCATTAAAACAAAATGGCACCAGTTGACCATTTTGGATTTGATCTGACCAACAAAATGATGTGCATCAAGGTCCCATAAAATTCAATGTACAAATCAAATACAAAATTTGTCTATATAAGGACCAGATTCAGACAATTCACCAAAGGTCTTACCTGAGCCTGAATACTTTGACAATTCACCAAGTCTAGGGTTGATACCAAGGAATCAAATGCTAAGCCAGTCTTTTTACAGGAATCTGCATTGAATTAACAAGTCATAGTTAGTGACAGTCCCTGTCCAGTTTTCAGTGACTGTGTGAATTATAAACATTATAAGGGGTTTCATGCAGTACAGATAAGGAATACCATAATTACTACCGTATATTCAAAGCACATCTCCAAAAGAAGCATGACTAAAGCAAAATTTGCATTTTTTTCTTTAACCCTAAATTTGACTGTCATTTACATAAGCACATGCACTTTTAATAGAGCAAATACAGCATTTAAAAAATATAACTGCATCATCATAACACTGGTTGCATGCCCCTATCTACAACAGTATATATTACACTTATGCACATTAATGAGGTCATATGACCATATATGGTTATTTGACATGTTAGTCGTATCTCTCTTCAAATAGCACTAGTTACATGTCTTTATCAGGGCTTGAAATAGTATAGCTTTGCATGTAAGTGAGGTCATGCACAAATTTCAACCATAACCTAGTCTTGTCTGTGCAATGCCCAACGGCATCTATGTACTTTTTAAATATAAATTTTCAGTCATCAGTATATTGACAGATAGACAGACAGATGTCAATCTGTTTGTCCTTGTTTTTTCACTGTATCTAAACAGGAACTAAAAAAACAATATGACCACCAGTTGGCCATTCTGATTGATACTCAATTCAAACAAAACTTGTAAAAGTGCATGAGAAACAGCTAGAAAACTTGTTTAGAAATAAAACAGTGATAACCACCATACATTCCCTCAACCATACACTGCTACAAAAGCATGACCTTTCATGTTTACTACCTGCACATTGTTCATACCTCTTACATATCCATTTTACATAATGAGCAAGCAATGTAAAAAACTATAAAACTTACCCAGAGTGATAGAATTGAGTTTTCCCTTGATTTGAATTGTACAATCATTACATTTGTATATGTAGACAACTTGTTTTATAGCTGTGGTCTCAATCACAATATTTTTATTGCCTTCATGAAATTCCTAACAGAGTAAATCAAAGAAAACTTAGAAAGAACTCCTGTGTGCTGAGAGTATTGAAGACACATTAATAATAAATTCAAAATTACTTGTACTTGAGATATTGATGGAATAGCTGAAAACTAATTATGTAAATCAGGTAACTGATATGAACAGATTTGGGTGTAAAACTAATAAGGCCTGCGTAATGAAATATCTATGTACCAAGTTTCATTGAAATGTGATTAGAACAAAAAAACTATGAATTATTATTAGAGAATTAATATGAACAAATTTCAACCCAAAATTAATCGGGCCTGTCTATTGTTCTAGAGCATTTATGTACCAAATTTTATTCAAATGTGATGATCAGTAATTGAGATATCAGTGTTAATTAATTATTTTAATTAGGTGATTAATAAGCATAACTATTTACCAAAAACTAATTGGGTCTCTGCTACATGTAGGTTCATTGAAATGTGATGATCAATACTCTATAAAAGTTTCATTAAAATCCAATTAGTGGTTCTTTATATATCAGTGGAACATTCATGGAAAAAATTAACTAATTATGCGAATTAGGTAATTAATATCCACAATTATTTACCCTAAAACTAATCAGGTCTCTGCATAGTCCTGGAGGATCTATGTAGCAAGTCTCATTGAAATATGATGATCAGTACTCGAGTTATCAGGTGAAAAGCTGAAAATTAACTAATTATGCTAATAAGGTGATTAATATGCACAAATATTTACCCCAAAATTAATCAGGTCTCTGCACAGTTCTTAAGTAACTATGTACCAAGTTTCATTGAAATGTGATGATTACTACTTGAAATATCAAAAGCTGAAAATTAATTACCCTAAAAACTATCAGGTCTGTGCAGTGTCATATGACATCTATGTACGAAGTTTTATTGAAATGTGATGATTAGTACTTGAGATATCAGTGGAAAAGCCAAAAATTGATTAATCATTATGCAAATTAGGTAATTAATATTGCAGATTTTTACCCAAAACTAATCAAATCTGCGCATTAGTTCAGAGCATCTATGTGCCAAGTTTCATCAAAATCCAATGAGTGGTTTCAACAATCATGGAACAGCTAAAATCAGCTAATTATCATGCAATTAG